GATTATGCTCAAAGCCTAAGCGTAGCTGTTTAGAAAGTTTCAAATGGCGGACCAAATTTTTCTGTTTTATCAGGTGAGGTGACATGACATGAAATTCAGGAAATCTCCTCTTTAACGTATTGATAATTTTTGTTTGAACCCTGTAGAATTATTTTTAAGTTACAAGTAGAAATATGCAAATTCTTTCTCCATGATGCACAGTTTTAAGTGCTGTTGGAGAATATCAGGATATCTGATCTTATATTTCTTTTACTTGGTTGCCCTGTAATAATAGAAAGACAAAAACAACAGTTATTAGTGTAACATTTTTTGCTTAAGCCAAACCATCGGAGCGGTAAGTGGCATACTTTTGCAATTTCCTCTTATCCATGCATTCGATTTAGTTGTACAGGTTATGCACGAAATATAAGGTGCCCTTTTTTTATCCATATCACCTAAAGCCCAGTCGAAGTACAGTTTATATGCCTTTTTTTAACTAATCTGGTGATTGGCATTCTTTGAGCTTTTGAATTAAACTTGCAATACATAGCAAAAGTTATCAGGGTGGTTTGTGTAATCACGATGTGTTTCGGGAATGCTATTACGTTACTTAACAATTTATGCATGTACTCACTTCGAGTAAGAAATGCTACAAAGGTTCATTAACCCACGCAAGTTCAATCAATTAAAACTCAAGAATGACAAAACGAGCTCAACAATTAGAAAAATGACTGGCACACACCATAAATGGTTCAACACTTACTGAAACCATTCTTTTGTCTGTTTCTTTTCCCAAGCATAATAGTTTGCTGCTATCTGGTAATCATTAATATAAAGTTTGTCACCTGCTTAATACATCGAAGTAAAGATTAAAACCTGGTTAGCTATTTATTTCATTATTTTTTTGTCGTGAAAATTTCGAAAAAATAGGGAACATATATACTTTGAAACAATATTTTAAAAATGTCTTGAATGCCTTACGTAATAGGACATTTCTGGAAGCTATTTCAGATTCTACACGAAAAAATACACAAGAAAAACTTTATTTTAAACTAGATACAAAAAAGCTGTTGAGAAATGTTTTTTTTTTTTTATAAAACTAGTATTACTTTGAAAGTATAGAAGATACACATTTAAGTTTCTGAAATTTTTACTAGAGTACCGCGTGAATTGATAGTTGATTGCAAGCAATAGAAATATTTTACACATTTATGGAAATTAAATAATAATAATATACATTAAATGCATCTAGATACGTCTTAGACATACTTAGATTTTTCTGACTTGTGTTTGTTCGTATAAAAAAAATAGGAAAATACCTTATTTTATTTTTTTTCCTTGTACATCTCGAATCTTTTTGATGGATATGTGCTCTTATTTCAATAAAAAAATTCGTGTTCCTTTCATCGAAATGCAATTAAGTAAATAAGGAAAAGCTGGCAAAATTTGTTTTACTACGCTCATAAAATATTATATTTTAAATTAAGGGGGTGTTTTTTTTAAAATTTCTCTCAGGAAACTGCTTTCGAAATCGAATTCAGGATGATATTAAGATGAAATTCAGAATATTCGCAATCACATTTCTTATGACTGGTGCAGCATAAGATGGATATGCAGTGCATTATGTTAAGGGAATAGAATGCATTTCTTGTCATAAACAAAACAGAAAATTCGTTTTACAAAAACCTATTTTCTCAGGTTTGCTTTTAACGGATTTATATTTCTTCCTTAGTATTATGTCCAACGCGCTGGAAGCAGTTACTATATTTCCGATTTTATGCGTTGTGTTCAGACATAAAATCCCTTTTTAACCATGACCAATTTCCATTTTTGTGGTCTGAACTAGATCTTTTCTATGCACATTTCTGTTCCCTAGAAATACTTGGGCTTTTATTCTATCATTTTTCTAAACCTGCTTATTTCTTGCTAGCTTATCCTGGAGGACACCCTTATTTATTTTCCATGCACTTTCCACTACAAATTTTCGAGAAGCATTATGTGGTTTTTATGAGTGTGTCCGTAGATTTTTTTAATTTTATTTTCCGCCCTCATCTTGCGTGTGTGTATATGGATGAATTCAAAATTCGACCCAGAAAAACCTTTTTCCGGCGACAATAGAATTTCCTTCCGCACAGCTTGCCACGTCAAAAGTGAGCCGGAAATTCGGCGTTCCAGCCGACTGGAAGGAGAGGGTGGCGTTTTGCTTCTGAAATTTTTTTTTTTTTTTTTTTGCTCATAGTATATTAGAAGAGCCTTCAAAGTAAATTTGCCGAACGAAAAGAAATCGTCTTTGCTCTCAAAGAAGAAATGTCTTCGTCCTCTGTAAATATTATACTTTATTTGACCACTGACGGAAATACGAATGGAACTTAATTCCATGTAGTCAGTCAATTTAGAAAAGAGTTTGTTTTGGTAGTCTTTCTCCTTACGATATCTATATTTATAACTTGTTCTCACAAATTTCCTGTTTGCCGCATCCCATGGTCATATCTGAGAAATTGCTTTAGCAGTTACTCGATGCTTCGTTGGTATTGAATGGATCTTATATCATGAGAAGGTCTAAATGTTTTGGATTGACACATTGATTGTGTATAAATGTAGCACTTTGAAGCTGCACGTAGGATGTAAAAGTATTTTGGAAAACGTGACAACTAAGAAATATGCACAAATTAAGGGGAGGTTTTCTATTCAAAAGTATTTTTTGCTCATTTTTGGAGGGGGGAAGGGAGTTCAAATAGAATCTTATTTCAAATTCTTTTAACTTAAAATAATTGAAATGGTTTCGCCCTCCTTTGTAGTATTCCACCATCAGAAGCTCTGCAGTTTTGTTGTCCGGCACCAAAGACGCATATTCTCATTACTTTTCTCTCTCTTTTATTCTTCATTAATTTCGTAATACAGAATTCAATAACTACTATAGGTAATTTCTAATGTTTATTCTCGAATTTGAAGTGCAAAAGATCTTTAAAAGTGTATCGTTGGGATGTCAATGGTTATCATTTTGTTCGATTGGCTTTAGGGCCTTTGTCTAGAGTTTGACCTCAAATAGGTGCACTTTTGGTCTAAATGCAATCTCTTCTATTCTGTTTTAAAAATTGAAAAAGAAAAACTGTATTTTTGTCTTATTTTAAACACTTAAAATGTTTTTAAATGTATATTTTAATCCAATTCTAGAACTTAATTTGTTTCTATTAATAAGAATTTAATTCTATATATATCCACTAGTTGTTGAATGTGGCAATAGGAATTTCAGCAGAACACTGGTCAGCTCTATCACCAATTTGTGACCCATCGTGTAGAGCAAGGGTGTCTAAATCAAAGGCTAACTTGGGCCAAACAAACAAGGTTTAACTTTAGGTGGTCAACAAAAAAATCAATATTCATGGAAACGTAAATTTATTTCCAATAATGCATTATAATAAACATAAATAAAATTACAAGAATTAATTAATGTTTACCTCCTGACACTTGACTTATCTTCTCTGTTACTATATTTCCTATTTTTGGGAGAAAGTTTTTTTTATTTTATTATATATTATTGTGGGTCGATATACTGTCCGGCCCGCAAAAGTGTTTGTTGAGGGCCGCGAGTCTGACACCCGTGATATAGAAGCTCAAAGTTCTCAGCTTGGTGTGGTGTAAAAGTTTATTTAGAGAATGGGGTGCTTGTGTGCTCTGTTATCTTTCTCGTCATTTGACCGAGGTTCAGATTACGTGATCCACTGCCAATGGTCCTGCAGTTTCAAAGTGCGGCATTAATAATAATAATGATGATAAAAAAAATCCTAATAAAATAAAATCTAAACACATAATTTTTAAGAACTTTTTTTTAATGAAATACAAGTATATAGTTGAATAAGTGTAATGAAGGTAACTATGCGGGTAAAATATCAGAGTAATTATTGAGATATGAATATCGAAAGAAAGTTAAGCATCATTGTAATAAATATGTACTTTTACTTGTGACCCGCGCTCTAGTGACAGACTGCAAGAAAAAGGAAAAGGAACTCTCTCTTCCCGCCTGCAATTTGTTTTAAATAGCCATTTTGTACAAATTGACTAAAAAAAATATTTTTAAATGATTTTCTGATTTTATATTCTGAGTAATTTTCTCGTTTTGATATTGGTTTTTAAATTGAAATCAATTATACAGGATTAGGAACAAAAATACTGTGTTTACAATTTTTTTTCCCGTTTTAATTTTTAGTAATAAATATCAATCTTTTTAAAAAGGTTTTTAGCTTACTAATAGAATGCTACTATAATAATTACATAACTATAATTTTCAGAATTGTTTGCATGTTGATTTAAAATAAGTGTCTCAAATTTCTTTAAAAAAAATGACCATGAAGAGATTCAGATACTTTTTTTCTTTCAATAATCTCTGTGAATAAATTAAGTGCATATTAACGTGCAAGAATTAATGAAATTCAATAAAGGAAAGTAATTGATTAACGAGTTATAAGATATTTTTTAGAATTTGAAATCATAACTCCTTTGGGGAATATAACACATTCTTAATTTTTCAATACCATCTTATTCACCAGCGTCCTTTTACGTATGTATTCTAATTCCTGTGGAAGTCTGTTCTTCCGAATCTATAGCATTTTTCCCTGTGATGTTTTATGTTCAACTTTCCTTGAATTTAATAATAATGCATTGAATATGTTACAACTTCTCTGGTGTGGCTGATATCGCTGAATACTGTTGAATAAATTAAAACCATCTCTTGAATTTTCACTCTTTCTTGAATTTTTTCAATTCCTGTTTTTGTTCACATTCTCCCTAGAAATATGTATATATATATATCTTGTTCAAATTTTCAATCGTTAATAAAATACTTTTTATTCATCCATACAAGTTCAATTACATTTTTTAAGCGTGTAGTTGAGGACACTTGATATTTATACAGTTTTTTCAAATTTTAATTCATTAATTAAATTTAATTAATGAATAAATAGTAACAAACAAAAATCATAGTCCAACACCATATATATATATAAAGGAAAATCGCTCATTATACCCTTGTAGCGCAATGGGTAGAGCTTTGGACTTCTAATCCAAAGGTCGTGGGTTCGAATACCACCTGGGATGGCCTGATTTCTGAGAATGTGATTTCTTTTTTACTATACTATTTCATTGGAATAATTAAGTTTAATTAATGAATAAATAGTGACAAACAAAAATAATGGCCCAACATAGAAAGGAAAATGGAAAATTGCAAGAAAAATAGATTTCTGTTTTGCCACGTTATTTTGTAATTCTGTCATATGTATATACATATTCATATTACCTGTAATTATTTTATAAAAAGTAACTAAAATAAAATCTTTCTTTGTTGACCTATGTAGGAATTTTTTGACTTAAACTTAAGCAAAAACAAGAAATATATTTATAAAAAAATTTCATGTCCTTCTAAGCTATATTGAAATTTTTATATATTTTAAAATGCTCTTAAATAATAGCTAAGATATTTTTCAATTAATTAATTTTTATCGCACAAATAAGTTATTGAAACCAATTATTGACAGAAAATTTTAATTAATTAAGCTTTTTTTCAGATTATTAATTTCTATCGCACAAATAAATCATTGAAACCACTTATTGACAGAAAACGTTTCTATCTTTATCATTTCCTATCCCTCTCACAATTTTTCTCCATACGGTATCGGAATTTCTTTTTACAAGATATCTAAAAACAGTCGTGTCCCCGGAATTCTCTCTTCAAAAATGAGATGAAGTAAATCATTCTGGCCTTAAACCGCCCTAAATTCATTACTGTATTTCCTGAATAAATGCTAACGAAGTTAAATGGGAAAAGCTCTCTGCGACGAGCTCATTACAAGTGATACGCATCATTTAACGGTAATGTTGGTTTGAGTTGAATGACTCGGATCTTATGTTTAGTTGAGCTGGAAATTCTGAATGCATTCTTTGTCTATTAATTATTTCGTGCAATTACTTTCATTACTGATAGCGTACTTATGATGAAGTGTATTGTTCAATTTGTGAGTTGATTTATTCAATTAGTTTAAAGAGAATTTTTATTTATTTATTTTTTGAAACCATATAAAGCTACGAATCACCAAAATGACATAGCAGTTTTAATTAAGTGATTTCTGAGTAATTCGTATGGGAATTTAATAGAGTTTGAAGTTAAGCATGCTTCAACGTGTATATATATATATATATATATATATATATATATATATATATATATATATATATATATATATATAATCTGAAATCCGTTCATTTTTTTTATTGATGCAATATACAATTTCTTTACTCATTTCGTAAAATATATCTTAATATATTTTTGTAATTGGTTTCAAGGTGACATGGGGATGCATGTAAATATTGTACTTTCCACAATTTTATTTTATATTTAATGTCTTTAATGAATGTTGTAAATTAACTCCAAACAATTTATCTGATTTTGAAATTTAAATTGTTTGTATAGCCTAGTAAAAAATGGTGTGAATAGCTTATGTTCCAATTTTTTTTTCTTGAATCTCGGAAGTGTCCCGGTGAGAGTGAGTTTCAGAAATATTGGGGAAAAATCATTAAAGGTCTATACACTTAATTATTAAGCGCAAACGCTTGGTTTACAAAATGTTTAATATCTTTTTGGTTGTGTAATCTTTTAAAGTCTTTTTAATTAGTTTTTATTTAATATTTATTTTTTAACACAGAAGTAATTTTTTCGATTAATGTTAATTCAAAAATTAAATGAATTATTCATATTTTTGTAGTTTCGAATATTGTATGATAAGTAGATCGATAGTTAAAAAATTGTCTACTTATGTACCACCTCGAGTCACTATGTAGCTTTCTTTATTTTGGATTGTAATTTGAATTTTGATTATTTCCTGAATTACTGATTGTAATTGCATCAAATTTTTGGATTCAGGGGTCAGTTTTTTTCGTAATTATATTTAATCGTATTCTTTGTAATAATATATATTTTTTAAATTTATTTTTAAAGTTGGATGATAATTATCAATCAAATTGATGCTAATATTTATGAGGAATGTTGAATAGAAAATTTTACATGGTCAAACATGTTTGAGTCCTTCATTCAACATTGGAGAACGTTAAAAACTTATATCCGAGAAACATTTTAACAGAATTTTCCTAATTCTGAAATTTAGGCTTACTTAATGGTGAAAAATCAATACTCCTGGAAGAAATTGACATTCGTAATAAGGGAAAAAAATCTTTAGAAATCTTTGTAGAAAATAATTAACTATTTTGATTATTTAATAGTAAATTTTATCCTGCTTCTATGAGAACTGTGAAAGTCATTAAAATGTCCGCTTTTTTATGACTGTACATAAAATGTATAAATTAGAATTATTATAATTATTCATTGATTCACATTCATTGCTTTAAGTGGACCAGCCTTTTCAATCTTCCTGTTACACATTTTTCCGGTTAAGATTACAATATTTATGTATCAAGTGCCTACTTTATTGAGTAAAATTAATATTCGAACTCTCACCTTTTTAAAAAATCATATATTGTCGCTTCTTAATGCATGTTTTATGTTTCTTTTGTTAAGCAATTAATGAAGCGAGACACGAGGCCAGTGGCATAACGTACACGGGGGGAGGGGCTATGTTATGTTATGGTTTTGCAATCCTTTGTAAGATCCGGCTTGTGGGTCTCAAGACCCGACCCTTGCAGTGGGGCCCTAATATTCTCCGTTACGCCACTGCTTGAGGCTGTCTCAAAAAGATTAATTCATTTTCTAGATATATGTATTTAGTAATTTTATCCTGTCACAAGTGCAACGTACTTTTTAAGTCTCCTAATTTTTGTAGGATTTCGCCAGAATACACCTGTTGATTGCATGAAAATATTAATACGATTAAAGGTTAACACTGAATGTTAAAAATCAAATATATATATATATAAACAAGAAAAATACTATTTTCTTATCATTATAATTTATTCAGCAACTTGTAGAATACAGAAAATCAATTCAAATGCTCCCCTCTTCTCCCGAAGTTAAGCGCCATCTATGACGTCATTTCAGAATCTCCTGATGCGGGATTAATTCGGATTTTTGTTTCACTTATAGGGAAACATAATTTTTTTGGAAGCATTACACGCATTTTAACGATTCATTCTAGTACTCAGTCGCGTACGTATCAAATGGAAGGGGGTACATTTTATGATAAAAAAAGATGTTGTCGAAAGTTCCGTGGCATAATCTCTATGGTAAACATTTAAAAAATCTGCTTTCCAAACCTTATCCTTCACTCCTAGCACTTATTTCATCTTAACTAAGATTTTTTTATATATATCTCCATGGTATAGTAAATGGCTGTATAAAAGTAGTCAAACTCTAAATAGAAGTGGGGGGGGGGAGTGTTTAGCAAGAGATCTAAACATTTTGATGCATTATTAATGGGGCGCCTTGTTAAGTTTTCTGTATTATAAGTCTAGAGAAATTTTTTTTTCGTTTTATAATTATTTATCTTTTTGCTATTGGGAGTCGTAAGTTCATTCAGTTATGCAATTGCATAATGTAGTATGGAATTTCTGTGTTAAAGAAGTCTTTATAAATGATATAATATGACAAGAGTAAAAAGGAACTGAGCTCCATAGTAATTTTAGATTATGACGTAAAATAAAATATGATTTTGAAAGTAATCTTTGTGTCAACATTTTACAATTTTTGGTAATTAATTAGTAAAATTGACTGGACTAGTACAGTTTTGATTAGGTTTAAATAGCAGCTTAAAAAAATTTAACTGTTCCTTTTTGGTGAATCACGGATGTTTCAATTAAAACTTAATTTTAGGTTTTTTTTGTACAATTTATAGTTGATTTTAAATAACAAAGTCTATCGTTGTAGCGTATGAAAAATATTGGCTTGTTTAAAATACTGATTTGTTTGCATTTATTAAATATTCTGTATATAAGGCTGATAATTGTTGAAATATTTTAATCATTAAAAATTTCTAGCTGAAATTTCTAAAGTTGGTATCTCATCCTCCGAATTTCCTCATCACATGAGGACCTTGAACCCTCCATAGGTTTAACATATATCAGCTCCGACAGTCTTGGTGGCGTCAGGACTCGAACCTACTCCTTTAGAGAAATGATGCCAGCCGTGAGCTCGTGACCATGGCTATTCGATTGCTGCGGTTGCTTAAAATCATGAGATAAAAAAGAAAATATTATTGGTAAAACGACTATATATATATGGACTCATGAGATGTATATATATATATATATATAATCCAATATAAGAATTTTTTAATATATAATCATATACATATACATACACATATATATAAAATTATACACACATATACATATACATATAAACAAAAATATAAAAATAGTCATATAGTTATAAACCTAAGATAACTAAAAGTAGGAAGTAGGCACACAGTATAAAGACAAATTCCTGGCCTTAGGAACCAGGATTGCAGGTTTAAACAAGTATATATATATATATATATATATATATATATATATAAAATCCATAAATATATACAAATAGCTATAAAACCTAAGTATAACTAGTCAAGATAGTAGGAAATATTAGCCACAGTAGTACACTAGCAAACTTCTGGCCTTAGGAATCAAGATTGCAGGTTTAAACAAAGTTTTAGGGATCGCCAACCTTCACTTGTAATTTGCATATACTACTTAGCCATAGGGAAAGGAAGGAATAATATTAAAAGAAATTTAACTATTACAAATAAAATACACTATATTATTAAAATATAACGATAAAATTATAGCCTACTAGTATTTACTAGTATAGATTAAAAAGTCGATGCATATATATATATATATACACCTATCATTTTAATATTAGTATATCTGCACAGATATTTATAAGTTTTGCATTTATTTATATTAAAATGCAACTGGGTTACTACTATATTTTAGAAATTGGATCAATTAGATTTTTATTTTCCTGTTTTATGAAGTATATAAAACTACTATATACAACAAATAAATAGTGCAATTTCTTTTTTTTTTGTAGGTGGTGCTGATAGCAACAAAGGAAAAAGCAAAAAATGGAAGAAGATACTTCAGTTTCCCTACATTTCCCAGTGTATAGAGCT